ATATTCTGATTAATGCTCTCCTAAATGCTCTACCTGCCTCACCTAAACATATAGCTATAAGCTATGCTGATGATATCATGATCCATACAACAGGGCATAAGAAGATGAATACCATTCTTAATGAAGTTCAAGCAATTTGTAATCGACTAGGCCTCATAATATCTTCCTCTAAAACTAAGATATTAACAAGCAAACGACATCCCCCACCCATCTATTTGCAGGGTGAAATCATTAGCTACGTTAAAACTTACAGATATCTTGGTGTAGATGTACCCTTTAACAAATCCACTATACCACAACTAAACAAGAAATGTAAAGCTAGGCTAAATGCTCTCAAAGCTGTTGCTGGCTACAATCCCAACTATGGTGCAAATGTTGAGAATCGTGAGAATGATGTACATAGCCTATGTTAGGTCCTTAATTGATTATGCTGCTCCCATGTTGATTTTGCTAGAGAAAGTTCTCTCCGACCCTTGGATTTTAATGCAAAATGAAGGGCTCTCAGGATTATTCTTGGCTGTCCCAGATCTACAAAAATTTTTAACATGAGGAAGGAGCTTGGAAATTTCTAGTATCAGTGAAAGGATTGTTAAAATTTAACACTGTACTCGGTATTAGAATGTTGAGAAACGAACCAGACACTGTCACAGTGAATCTTACCAAGTGTCTAGAGGTAAATACACACAGATCTAAATGGATTGTGAAAACGTGCAATTGCATTAAGTTTTATAACCTGCATGAACTGTATCACTGTAGGCAACAAGAGCATTTCACCCCTCCATGGAAGATGTGTTCAAATTTTAAAATCACATACCTACAAGTTCCCCAAGAAGCTCATTGCTAGTTTAAACCCTTCCTTAAATCTCTTGTTAGAGCAACTGCTCAAGAAGAAATTTCTCACCTAGCTGGTAGTAACAAGTTATTTATTTATTTATTATCACACCGGCCGATTCCCACCAAGGCAGGGTGGCCCGAAAAAGAAAAACTTTCACCATCATTCACTCCATCACTGTCTTGCCAGAAGGGTGCTTTACACTACAGTTTTTAAACTGCAATATTAACACCCCTCCTTCAAGTGCAGGCACTGTACTTCCCATCTCCAGGACTCAAGTCCGGCCTGCCGGTTTCCCTGAATCCCTTCATAAATGTTACTGGGGGGATTCAGGGGAAACCGGCAGGCCCGGGCTTGAGTCCTGGAGATGGGAAGTACAGTGCCTGCACTCTGAAGGAGGGGTGTTAATATTGCAGTTAAAAAAACTGTATGTAAAGCACCTTCTGGCAAGACAGTGATGGAGTGAATGATGGTGAAAGTTTTTTTTTTTTCGGCCACCCTGCCTTGGGGGGAATCGGCCGGTGTGAAAAATAAATAAATAAAGTAACAAATTATATACACTAAATGGATCTAAACAGGAGTCTTCTGGCGGGGCTGCATCTGCTCTTGTTGCCACCTCCCTAGTTAAGAACGATAATAAATTTGTTGAGTTAGGCATAAGAATTAACAACTGGGCGTCTACACTGCAAACTGAATTGTTTGCAATCCTAATGGCGCTAAAGCTAACCTATGACACTGAGCTTGACTCTATCAACATTACTGTTTCCCTATGTCATCATTGAAGGCTCTTGGCTCATATAATGACTCCAACAACATGCTCATTGGGGAAGCCAGGTACAGATACTCAAAAATTGGGGAAAAAAGGAATTAATGTACAATTGCTATGGATCCCATCACACATTGGATTACTCCTTCATGATAAAGTTGATATGTTAGCCAAGAAGAGTATCGAGAAGGAGAATGTAGAATATAACTTTGGTATAACTGTGTCTAGCATTAGGAATAATATTAGGAGAGAAGTAAATAATGAAAATGATTGTTATTTAGAAATGCAGTTAGAAGCCTGAGTAGATCTATAACCCACTATGATAACATGAACGTAGATAAGTATGTTTATGGAGCAACTTGCAATGTGAACAGACCTGACTGATGTTGTAGTGGCCAGGCTTAGGCTTGGTTACAAGTACTTCTGGCATTTTGGGAGACACACAGATGATGAATCAAACAAAAATGTAAATTATGTGATCAGGCATATGGTCATTCTCTTGAACACTATGTGCTTAATTGTCTCTTATTGGGGAAATTTACAGAGACAGCCCATTTATAATAACCTATTGACATGCCCAAGATACTTATTAATGAAAATAAGATACCAGATATACAAAGCAAATTTCCTAATTTGCTTGTAACAGAAAGTGAACTATAGATATGTAGATATAAATCCGTAGTTTCCCCTTTTAAACCCCTTTTGGGGGCCTAGTTCCTAGGCCTTTGGTGTATCCATATGCTCTCGCGCTTAACCGTCCACAGGATGGTTTATGGGGTGCACAAAAAACTAGCCACTTTCGGTGGCAAAATCTAATCTCTATCTGGCATGTATAGTTCTTGCATTGAATAGAGTTTGTTTCTTTTTTGGGTGTCGAGGCGTACATTTATGGCAGTAATATCTTGTTGTATGTGTAAATCTGCCATTTAACTCTGTCTCTCCTCCTGGTATCGGAAAATGAAGCGAAGAGCTCTATTCTGGACCCTTTGTAGCCGTAGCATGTTGGTCTTGTTGTTTAATGACATTGGGACACAAGGGTATCGAGTATTGGTCTTATTATCATTTTATACAGATGTTTTTTGACATGTTGAGGGGCTTAAATTAAAATCGAAAGAGACTGCTAAGACCGGTTTTGGGCTAGTTGATCTTTTTAGTTAACATGAGATGTTGAGTGAGCAGCCTGTCTATTTCATATCCCAAAATCTTGTTAGGGTTTCTAATGGCTACAGGTGTACCTCTGAGGAGATACCCCCTTTATCTTCAATTGTTGATGCAAAACATCCTATCGTGCTAACAAGGACCTTGTCAGGATTAGTTGTAATTCTCCATTTCTTTTCCCAATTAAATGTTCGACGAAGTTCAATATTCATTTTTTTTTATGACTCTCTCATACTTGTATTTTCCTGTTACCGGAGTTGATGGACTGAATAACATCATCTGCAAACTGTGTCACAAATTGTGTCATTAAACTCTGGGTTTAGGAAGGTCTTCACATAAATGTTGAACAGAATTGGACTTAGACAAGAACCTTGTGGACACCAGCTGTCGGTATAAAAGGCTCTGTCGACCTGCCATGAAAGGTGGAATGATTTTTCTTGGAGTTAAGAAATTATATATTAATCTGAGAAAAGTCCAGTTATGGTCTGGTAGGTCAAAGATTTTTTATATAAGGCCATCATGCCATAAGCTATCAAAAGCTTATGAACATCTCTGGTGGCAATTAAGGCAAGATTGCCCTGATGTTTTAGACTTGCTACTGTATCGAAAATAACATTTATTGCATGATTGGTACCTCTATGTGTTCTAAAGCCAAATTGTTTTTTCAGTTAAAAAGTGATGAAACTCCATATAGTAGTTCAATCGTTGGAAATGACTTTCTCAAGAATTTTTTCCCCAGTGACTTCAAGTAAAGATAAAAGGTCTATAGTTCCCAGGTTGGTGGATGTCTTTATTGGGCTTACCAAGAAAGATCATCCTAGCAGTCTTAAAAACAACTGGAAAATGTCCTGAGGCCAAGATGGCATTAAAGATATTTACCAAAGACTTTTTTAAACAATTTCTAGGTAGGTACTTTATTTTGTTCATTGTTATTCCAGAGAGACCAGGGGCTCTATTTCCTCATTCTTCCAATAACCTGACTTATCTCTATAATGTAATAGGTCTAGTAAGCGGGTGGGTATCTTCAAGAGTTGAAGTATCGAGGGGAAGGTAGTGGTTTTTGATCATCCAAGTTATCATCTCTCCATTCATTTACCAACTGATAATGATTATTGTTAAATTGACGACTGTTATTGGGGGAGAGAATTTTCTCCCATAAAATCACCCATCAAATTAGCCTGGTCCTGTGGATCATCAAGTTTAATTCAACATCTTCATCATCCTCATCAGTAAAAGGAAATGAACTAGGTAATTGGGAGCCTTGTGCTTTGCCCCAAAAAGTTGTGGGATCTTACTCCAAAATTTTGCTGGTTCCCGTTTTATACTGATTAGCTTGAAGAACTAAAATTTCCAATGTCCCGTTTGTGATGACTAATCATGTTAAATTTAAATTTCCCTTGCCTTAATCGGTGCATTGTAGCTGCTGGTGGTTGTCGGTTTGAAGATGCCTTCGACATTCTGCTTGATAATTTCTTAAATTGTCTCTAATTTCCCTAGTAGGTTTATATTGTTGGTATATCTTTGTGGAAGCTAATTAACAAGTTGCATTAGTAGCTTCAATTATTCGATTATGCAGGGACCTGATTGCATCATCAATTGCATTGGAAGGTAGATTTTCCAATGACACAATTTCATCCTCACCCAGATATGCCCTGAAGGGGTCAAATCCTAGGGTGTTAAGATTGGGTTTAGGAGGTACAGGCATTCTAAATGGAGAAGTTTGTAGTTGTATTATAACAGTTGAAGAGGGCAGGGTGATGAGCATTAAAATCTCCAGCTAGAATTGTTGGAATATTCCTGCTTAATATCCTATGTAGAGGAATTGACTCTATATATTGTTGGATCCGGGTGTCATCCGCAAAGGAAGACACGGAGCTATGGCTTACATCTCAATGTCAGTAATGAGGATGAGTAATAGAATGGGAGCGAGTACCGTGCCTTGTGGAATAGAGCTTTTTACCTTGTACATGTACTTGTTGAAATAAAGATATTATTATTATTATTATTATTATTATTATTATTATTAAACTATACGACTTTTGTGCCACCCCTACTTGATACTGGTCAAGACATACTACAGCGTAGTCTAATTTCATTTCCAATCTGTAGGTTACATTTTTGTAATTACCATTACTCCCAAGCTGTAGCCATTGAGTTGTGGGTAAGTTGTGAAGAGTTCCACACATGGCAGTGATTTTTTTTTTTTTTTGGGGGGGGGCAGAATTTTGGTTAGTATAGCTTTACCTTTGACTGAAAAATCATCAGACATTATTTTTTTAATGGTAGTTTCTTCAACAAGGAGGGCGTAATCACGGGACCTGACCAGAGTAAAGGCAGCATTGAAGAGTAGGCTCGCTCGCAGAAACTGAGACCGTCCACGTTTGTTTGCCAACTCCATCTCGGCGAAGATGCCCGATTTAGCATCCTGAAACAAATAAGTCAAGAAGACTTGTTAAAGTTGTTTTCTAGTATACTCACCATGCAGTGAACGGGATAATAACTACAAGTATATCCATTTAAGAGTTATTAATCAATATATTATAAAAACCAATGTAAAAATGGTATACGGGGGGCAGAGTATGAGAAGACCTACTTACTATGAACCAGTAGGCCTACTGCAGTGTTCCTCCATTCTTATGTTTTTAAGAAAAGAAAAATTAAACGAGTAGTAAGAGAATTCAAAAAGATAACCAATAAGAGAATGGGTGAGTCTTTATCAGCAGATTAAGCTGAGAATAAGAACTAGTGTATTTGTTCAAAATATGCATGAATGAAGGAAAAGTAAGGATTGGAAGAGAGCATTCATAATTTCTTTATATAAGAGAAAGGGGACCATAGAGAATGTTAAGAATTATAAGGGAATAAGTCTGTTGAGTAACCCAGGAAAACGTATGATAAAATTAATACTGAAAAAGTTCAGGGTATAACGGAAAGTAAGATTGCAGATTAACGAGGTGGATTTAGGAAGGGCAGGGGATGTGTAGACAAACTCTTTAATTTAAAGCATATAAGTGTAAGGAACGGTTTATCACATATATGGATTTAGAAAAGGTATATGATGGTGCGGATAGGGGACCAATTCTGCAAATGTGTGGAGTAGGTTATTGCAAGAACAAAAGCGTTTTTATGCAGAGTGAGGGTCAGGTAGGTATGTATTAGAGAGGTGGGGGGGGAGAGAACGTTTTATAGTAAATGTAAACCTTCAAGGGGGATGTGTAGTGTCACCATGGTTGAATGCTGGGGTGTTGGGAAGAGGTGTGCGATTTAAAGATGGTGAATGGGATGCAAGTGAGAATTGCGACAGTTGGTCTTTGATGATGACGCGATTCTTTTGGGAGAGTTTGAAGAGAAGTTGCAAAAGCTAATGGATGAATTTGAGAGGGCATATAAAAGAAAAAATTAAAAATGAACATAGAAAAGAGTAAGGTGATGAAAGTAACAAATGAAAAAAACTCTAGGCAATGAAAGACTAGATATCAGATTGGAGGGAGAGTATGAAGAAAAATTTTCAGATATTAGGGAGTGGACTTGTAGGCGGATGGATCTATGAAACATAAGGTGAACTGTAGAACAGACCAGTGGTCCTCGAAGGATGTCGCGAGAGAGGATGGCAAGTGTGGCGGGAAGTTTAAAGGATAATCAAAGAAACATTTAAACATTCATGTAGATCTTTCCAGATTCCATGCTATCTCCGTGTTACGTGCAGTGTTACGGACGAACCTCAAAGAAGTAAATAATATGATCTTTCTTTTTGCATTAGCGCACCGCTAACATAATCGATTATTTTATTACATTACTTAAATTTCGTGAGTGTAATCGCAACTTAGAGGGTTACCGTGCATTGTATCAACATAACCTCGAAATGTTCCCACTAGTAAAAAGTTTTAAAACGAGCAATGAATTGTACGGCCTTTTACAGAAACATCATGAAACACTGGTAGAAAAAATTGATCATTACTTTCCATCGTTGATAAACAGAAAAATTCGACTGGGTTAGAGACCCCTTTGCGAATCTAGCTGTTCAGGTCTGACATTAGATGAGGAGGAAATTACCTGCATTTCAAGGGATCGCACCTTGAAAATGAAACACGGGAGTATGCTACTGGACTCTTTCTGGATATACAACCAGAGACAATACCCATGCATCTCTTCAAGAGCATCATCTATTCTACAGTTCTCCACGACATACTGTTGTAAACAGGGATTTTCAGCTCTGATAAATATCAAAGACCAGAAAAGAGAAAGGCTTCTTGGTGTCGATGAGGAGATGAGAGTCTGTTTGTCTCAAATTAGACCTAATATAAATAAGATTACCAGACAAAAACAAGCTCATACCTCTCACTGAGTTTGTATACTTACCTAAGGTTACACATGTAAGAGGCTCTATAAATATATTTTGGAAATGAATCATGTTTTTATGTAGCTCCATTGTTTTATTCTTTCTGGATGTCACATGATCATATTACAGAGCAGTTGTGTGTTTTGTACGTCTAGTGCTATGTAATCAGTAATGTATTAAGTTTAGACTGCCCGTAATGCCAAGTTAGTTAGTTAGTTAAAGATTAGCCGGTATTCTCCCGGCCCGGGCCTTGTCCAAGTGGTGGCCCGGCCTTGGCTCCCTCTTTAGGGAGTGTCTGAGACCTAAGTCTCCCATGGGAGGAGGCACAAGTACCTCCTCATCTTTGGGACCAACTGTCCCCAGGCCTAGCCACAAGCTAGGCCTCTCTGGTATGCCATCCCCGCCCCAAGGGGGCAAATGGGAATGACAGTCTTATGAGCTAAAGGCTCGGACTCAGGCACCTACCCTACCCTAGAAGGGTTAGGCATGGTGTCGATCGTAATGCCAAGGCATGATAGTGGCTCTCTTGCATTACAAATCATTGTAAACCCTCACTGTAAACTATCTATGTAAATATGCTTCCTAAAATATGTCAACCACATGGTAAACTTGCAAGGAAATAATGGAATTTTGAATTTTGAATTTTGAATTTCTGAATCAAGCACTGCAAAGATTTTTTAAATGTATTCCTTATCAATAAAAAAATCGGTGGAGCGAGCAAATTTTATTCCACAAGTGAGGTCCAGAGAGAAAAAAGTTTGGGAACCACTGAAATAGACGAAGGGTAAAAATAAGTATGTGGTGTGTTAAGGTATCTGTAGAAAGGAAGAAATGTATATATCGAGGCAAGAGAGGGAATGTACCACAGTATAGTGGTGCCACCACTTTTAGTTCAGTGTGAGACATGGACTTTAATGTTGCAGCGAGGAGGAGCCTTGAGGCAGTAGAGACGTCATGTTTGAGAGCAATGTGGTGTGAAAATTATGCAGAGAATTCGGAAGAGTAGAAAATAGAAGATGGCTTTTCATTATCAAATATATAATGCAGAGGGTTGAGAAGGGATTCGTGAGTGGTTTCGGCCTTTAAAGAGGATTAGCAGGATATGTTAACCAAGAGGGAAGGTAACATAGGTAGGGATCGACCCAAGTAGGGTCAGGATGGGATAATTGAGGCTCTGCTCTGTGTGTAAGGAACTTGAGCATCCAGCAGGCTGGTGTATGTTAGATCAGAGACGAGATAAGTGATTTTCATAACTTGTGCTGGTTTACTTCAATCATAATTTTTTCAACGCCATGTCTGATCAAGACTGCCTCCAAACAACCCTGGACCGCCAGCATCCCTGTCGCATAGTAACAAAAATTCTGCAGACAAATCTAACCTAGTTTATGAGTGATTGATCTCATGTTCACGAATTTTAACCAGGTTGAGTTCCAGCTCCTGAACCATTTTGAGGGCTTTTTCTCAGGGTGTAAAGCTACTGCTTCTTGAGCATATTCAACTAAACCAGAACTGGGCAACTTCGCCTGATCTTCAACTTTTTGGAAATGATGAATAAGACACTTGTGCAGCACTTGGATATCTTTATTACCGTGACGTTTAATCTGCACAACAAGCTTCTTCAGTCAAATATAAGAAACCTGTTATGAAGGCGAAACGTTTTCAGGAGTGAAGATACTGAAGCGTCGCACATGTCTTACCAGTTTGTTGGAACTGTATACAATCATTACTAGGATAAACCCTTGAATCTCTTAGAAATGTTGCGTTATAGCACTAAGGGCGCTTTAAGGAGTTAAGCTGCAGCTCAACAGCCTCTTCAGGGTTTTCAGATAAAGCTACTAGGCCTTTTGAGTGTATTAAGGTAGGGGCGGCTAGGGTTATGTGATACAGTGTACACTTAGTTGGCTTAATTAGTTAGATTTCTACAGCAAGCGGGTAGAAATACTGTCATTACTTAACTAGCTTAAACCCTTACTTTACTTGAATTTCGAAATAAGTGAACTCATTACCCTAATGAAAACGTTCCAAGCATTGGATTATATAAAAATGCTAATTCCTTAATAATAATAATAATTTAATTATTATTATTATTAAAATTATTTTTTACTGTCATGTATGACTCACTTTCATATAGGCGGACATGGCCGTAGACGTCTCAAAGATAAGGCCAAATTTCTTGGCATCGACGAGGTTCCTGAGGCTGTCGATCTTGACAGGTATCTGCCTGACGGCGAGGAGAGAGGTGAGGGCACTGGAGTAACTCCTTAAGATCACCAGCACCACCATCATCCACACACACACCAACACCCTCAGTGAAATGTCACTAGGATCGTGTGTAGATGCTGCAACACAACGTCAGTTTCCAAGTAATATTATTTTTATGAGGTAAAAAGGCACATGCAGCAATAGGAGACTTTTATTAGTACATTTCACGTCCATGAGGCTTTATTAAGCTTCGTGTATGTGAAATATGTGACTGAATTCTCTGCATAACTAACTCGTTACGACTGTAACTAGATATATACATGTAAATAGTTCAATACCGCTGTAACTTCCTAAGAAACGAAAACTTGGTGCTCAGTCCCTGGACCCATAATGTGCCTCTGTAATCTTCGCTTTACCGCCCACACCAAGAATATTGGGCGCCTATAAATTATTAAATGAAGCTGTCAGCTACAGTGAAATGTACAGACTAACAGCTATTAATGAATGTCAAAATTAGTGGTTATGGCTCAAGAACAAGATTAAGTATTGGCAAATCTCCTTATATTTACTGTTAATGTTCACATAAAGTAAATACCGTAGGTACCTGGGTGTTAGCAGACTACTACTGTGAGTGGTAGCAGATAGAATTAGGCTTCGAAATGAGCCAAGGTAGGTAAACATCTTAAATGTGATGAAGTGATGGTGGCGGGAATACTCATAGTGACTTTTTTGTATGGTTATATCCCAAGCGTTGGACTATATATGATAGCATTGCAGCAATGGAAGATTTTTGGTGTTAAACTGACCACTTTGTAATCCAAATTGGTCGTTTTATGAAGAAATCTAAGAATAAAACGAATAGCTTCATATTTTCCTTAGTTTATTTTTATAATTTATTTTTCGATGAAAATTGCAAGATACGTATTTACCGTAACCATCCATCTGTTGAGATCTTTGGTTTGAAAAGTCTCTTAAATATTTACCTTAAGCCTTATACAATACTTTTAATACAGATTCTGTGTGATGCTTATGATTTTGTTTTTGACAGTAACATAACTGTAAAGTTTCACTTGCGAATAACCTTGATCATTTCCAGCGTCTGTGGCTGAGTTGGTTAAGGTATGTATTTAATTCAGTCACTACAAGAAGCAGGTAAATATATGAAATAATTGACTTTAAAAAATAAAAAATACCAAGAGATCCTGTCTTTCATAGTACTCGGATGTTGTTCTGAGTTACCATCACGGAAAGACCAAGCAGAGGTCTTTTATATTTACTACAAGTACATATACAAGGTATACAGTTCTAACTGACATCAGTGATATACTACTATATAGAAAGATCCTTGTTATGCAAAGATTCCGGGCAAATTTGGTCAGTTTTGTCCCAGGATGCGACCCACACCAATCGACTAACACCCAAGTACCTACTGGACTTATGGGTGAACATAGAGAACTGGTGTAAGGAGACACGTCCAATGTTTCCACCCCTTCGTCGGGAATCGAACCCGGGCCCTCAACGAGTGAAGCGAGAGTTTTTGTCACCAGGCCACCTAGCACAAAGTATCCAAGACCTCCAATAAACTGAGAGTTCGATGGTGTTGTGCCGAATATGTTCCAAGAACTATCAACAACGAAGGTTTATTATTAAACAGACAATATACATTTTACACACAGAACTACTTCCGTAAATCGTTCAGAAATTTGATGCAATTTATTTGTTTAAACAACGAATTTTGCGATTTTTCAGATTCTGGGTTCGAGGTAACTGCTTACATAAACTACAATTACATTTTTAAGATTATTGAAGTGCCTATATTTTCATATATTAAAATATGCTAGATATGGTCAGGGTTATATACAAGTGAAACCATAGTTATGTTAAACTGTCAAAAAACAATAGAATATACATTACACAGGTTCTGTATTAAGAATATTGTATAAAGTTAAAGGTGTTTTAAGAATAAATAAAGAAAAAAAGAGGCAAGCTTGAAGCTGTTTATTATATTCTTAGATTACTTTGTTTAAAAAACTAACAACTTGAACTGGGTTACAATATGGTCAGCTGCACACGAAAAACTGCCACTGCTGCGATGCTGTCACATTTTAAAACTCCATGGATGTACAATATAATGCAAAAACAATCAATCAGCATTCTTCCTTCCTCAGATGTGGAGGATATTGAACCTAAAGTCGGTACCTGACCAGCCGGGCTGTGGCTCGTACGTTGGATTGCGTGCAGCCAGCAGTAACAGCCTGGTTGATCAGGCCCTGATCCACCATGAGGCCTGGTCACAGACCGGGCCGCAGGGGCGTTGACCCCGGAACTCCAGGTAAACTCCAGGTAAACGCTCTACCACTCAATTACAGGTCCCGATAATACAAGAAATGTTTATGAACTATATTTATATTCATAAATTTCCATTAGTTCTGAAGAATTTTAGCTATATCAATGCCAGTTGTTTTAATTCTATTTTATTAATCTTAATTACATTATTTTTTAGAAAAGTATCGTATTTTTGCAAGTTTACTGAACAACAATAATTTACAAAGAATATATGTAATGTTTGTCAAAGGCATGTGAGGACACTTCACTTGCAACACCAGATATACAGTATACACTGTGAGAGATATACGGTACAATGTGAGGTATATATCAGTGTATATGTATATATACTAAGTTTTTTACTACAGACTCTTGTTTCGGATTCCAATGTTGTGCTATTAATTAACCTGGGGTTTACCTGGAGATAGTTCCGGGGTTCAACGCCCCCGCGGCCCGGTCTGTGACCAGGCCTCATGGTGGATCAGGGCCTGATCAACCAGGCTGTTACTGTTGGCCGCACGCAACCCGACGTACGAACCACAGCCCGGCTGGTCAGGTACTGACTTTAGGTGCCTGTCCAGTGCCTGCTTGAAGACAGCCAGGAGTCTATTGGTAATCCCCCTTGGAGGCAGCTGGACAGCCTTGAGCCCCTGACACTGTGTTGTCTTTTATCGTGCTAGTAGCACGAATGCTTTTCATAATAATGTAAAATGTTATAGAAAATTCACAGCCAATATCGGTAAGTCTATATTGGTTGTGTATTTTTGTGTAATATTGGCAAAAATTGTGCTCAGTATATGCAAATAAGTTTCAAGTCACTACAATTTCAATACTCAGTGTCTCAAGACGCTACTTTTAATAAAATCTAATAAGACCGAACAACGAAAGAAATAGCACTTCACTTTGTATATACTCTGAATGTATATCTCTATCTTGTTGTACTGAGAGCAACTTATATATACACCTACACAGTACTTATAAACACACAGTTTACTGAAATACTTATATTAGAGATTAAAGTACCTTCGAATGGTGGTGTAGAGATGAAATGCAACCTTAACTCCATACACTAACCAAACAGAGAACACTTACGTTGCTGGCACAAGTTGGCAAACTGTTCCCAAGAGTAGACGAGAGTAAGAGCCATCTTACTGGAGTTGCTCCAGCCTTTCCTCTCCCAGCCTAGGAAGACAAGGATGCCGATCACCACACAAACAAGCAGAAATGACAGCAGCAACCCAAGCCACACCATAGGTCGCAGTGGGTTGAAGAAGCTCCAGGGGTCAGGCTTGGCGGAGCCTCGCTTCACCAGGATCCTGTTGTAGTCGATTAAAATAGGCTGCGAGAAATCGACCACAGCAGCTCGCGACCCCGTGAGGCCGAACGGACCCAGAGCGATGTCGACTTCCTGATGACAGGGTCAGTGAACACTTTTCAGAAGTGTGGTTGTGATGTTCCGGAAGTAGTGTGAGTGAATGTGCTGAAGAATGAGTATTGGGAATCTCCGGACAAACAATAAATGTTGTAATATATTTTTTTGGGTAAAAGCCAAAGCAATGCGAATCACACTCTGATTATATTGCGCATTAACGATTGATCATATATATATATATATATATATATATATATATATATATATATATATATATATAATATATATATATATATATATATATATATATTGTATATGTATATATATATATATATATATATATATATATATATATATATATATATATATATATATATATAATATATATATATATATATATATTATATATATATATATATATATATATGTCGTGCCGAATATGTAAAACTGGTCAATTAGCAAGAACTTATACGTTATCTTATACGTTTAAAGATATATTTTTTCATTAATGTTAATGTGAAAATTTTTAATTTTGCACCAGAAGAATCTTAGAAAACTTACCTAACCTTATTATAACAAGAATAATTTATTTTAGACTAACCCAACTAAATATATTTTAGATTTGTTTACAATAATTTAATACTAAACAAACACAGTGAAATATATATTTTTCGTTAGGTTCAGAATGATTTTGGCGAAATTATTGAATACACAAATTTTCGCTTGTCCTATATGGCAAGATGAGCGTTGCTATTTAAGCCAAGATCGCAAGTTCTGCCTATTCAGCACGACATATATATGTCGTGCCGAATATGTAAAACTGGTCAATTAGCAAGAACTCATTTAAAATTAAGTCCTTTCTAAAATTTTCTTTTGTACGTTTAAAGATATATTTTTTTCATTAATGTTGATGTAAAAATTTATAATTTTGCACCAAAAGGAACTTGGAGAACTTACCTAACCTTATTATAACAAGCGCAATTTATTTTAGCCTAACCCAACTAAATATATTTTAGATTTGTTTACAATAATTTAATACTAAACAAACACAATCAAATATATTTTTTTCGTTAGGTTCAGAATGATTTTGGCGAAATTATTGCATACACAAATTTTTACTTGTCCTATATGGCAAGATGAGCGTTGCTATTTAAGCCAAGATCGCAAGTTCTGCCTATTCGGCACGACATATATATGTATATGTATATTATATATATATATATATATATATATATATATATATATATATATATATATATATATATATATATATATATATATATATATATATATATATTTTAGGTTGGTAGACAGCAACCACCCAGGGAGGTACTACTGTCCTGCCAAGTAAGTGTAAAACGAAAGCCTATAATTGTTTTACATGATGGTAGGATTGCTGGTGTCCTTTTTTTCTGTCTCATAAACATGCAAAATTTCAGGTGCGTCTTGCTACTTCTACTTACACTTAGGTCACCCTACACATAAATGTACAAGCATATATATACACACACCCCTCTGGGTTTTCTGTTTTTTTCTTTCTAGTTCTTGTTTATTTCCTCTCATCCCCATGGGGAAGTGGAACAGAATTCTTCCTCCGTAAGCCATACGTGTTGTAAGAGGCGACTAAAATGCCGGGAGCAAGGGGCTAGTAACCTCTTCTCCTGTATATATTACTAAATGTAAAAGGAGAAACTTTCGTTTTTCTTTTTGGGCCACCCCGCCTCGGTGGGATACGGCCGGTGTGTTGAAATATATATATATATATATATATATATATATATATATATATATATATATATATATATATATATATATCTATATATATATATATATATATATATATATAATATATATATATATATATATATATATATTATAATATATATATATATATATATATATATATATATATATATATATATATATATATATATATATATACATATATAGGTTGGTAAACAGCAACCACCCAGGGAGGTACTACTGTCCTGCCAAGTGAGTGTAAAACGAAAGCCTGTAATTGTTTTACATGATGGTAGGTATGCTGGTGTCTTTTGTCTGTCTCATAAATATGCAAGATTACAGGTACGTCTTGCTACTTCTACTTACACTTAGGTCACACTACACATACATGTACACGTTTATTTATACACACTCATCTGAGTTTTCTTGGATTTTAACTTAATAGTTCTTGGTCTTATTACATTTCCTTTTATATCCATGGGGAAATGGAATAAGAATCTTTCCTCCGTAAGACATGCGTGTTGCAGAAGTCAACTAAAATGCCGGGAACAATGGGCTAGTAACCCATTTTCCTGTAATGATTACAAAAAAGAATAAGAAGAAAATTGTCAGAGTGGGAAGTCTGCAAGAGCGTGGATGCTGTGCAAATGACAAGAAAAAGATGATTGTGGATGTTATGAATGAGAAGAAGCTGGATGTCCTGGCTTTAAGTGAAACAAAGCTGAAGGGGGTGGGAGAGTTTCAGTGGAGATAAATAAATGCGATTAGGTCAGGGGTTTCAAACAGAGTTAGAGCTTAAGAAGGAGTAGCAATAATGTTGTAGGATAAGCTATAGTAGGAAAACAGGGATTATGTGGAGTAAAATAAAGGTTGGATGTGAAAATTGGGTTATAGTAAGTGTATATGCACCTGGAGAAGAAAGAAGTGTAGAGGAGAGAGAGAGATTTTGGGAAATGTTAAGTGAATGCCTGGGGAGTTTTGAACCAAGTGTGAGAGTACCTGTGGTTGGGGATTTCAATGGTAAAATGGGTAAAAATGTTGTGGTGGGAGTAGTAGGAAAATTTAGGGTGCCAGGGGTAAATGAAAATGGGGAGCCTTTAATTGAGCTATGTGTAGAAAGAGGTTTGGTAATAAGTAATACATATTTTATGAAAAAGAGGATAAATAAATATACAAGGTATGATATAACACGTAATAAAAGTAGTTTGTTAGATTATGTATTGTTGGATAAAATGTTGATGGGTATGCTCCAGGATGTACATGTTTATAGAGGGTCAACTGATATATCGGATCATTATTTAGTTGTAGCTACAGTTAGAGTAAGAGGTAGATGGGACAAGAGGAAAATCGGCAACAATAAGTAAGAGAGAGGTGAAAGTGTATCAACTAAGGGAGGAGGAAGTTCGGGTGAGATATAAGCAACTATTGGCAGAAAGGTGGGCTGGTGCAAGTATGAGTAGTCGGGAGGTTGAAGTTGGCTTGCATAGTTTTAAAAATGCAGTATTAGAATGTGGGGCAGAAGTTTGTGGTTATAGGAGGGTGGGGGCAGGAGGAAAGAGGAATGATTGGTGGAATGATGAAGTAAAGGGTGTGATAAAAGAGAAAAAGGTAGCTTATGAGAGGTTTTTACAAAGCAGAAGTGTTATAAGAAGAGTACAGTATATGGAGAGTAAAAGAAAGGTGAAGAGAGTGGTGAGAGAGTGCAAAAGTAGAGCAGATGATAGAGTGGGAGAGGCACTGTCAAGAAATTTTAATGAAAATAAGAAAAAATTCTGGAGTGAGTTAAACAAGTTAAGAAAGCCTAGGGAACGAATGGATTTGTCAGTTAAAAACAGAGTAGGAGAGTTAGTAGATGGGGAGATGGAGGTGTTGGGTAGATGGCGGGAATATTTTGAGGAACTTTTAAGTGTCGATGAAGAAAGGGAGGCGGTGAATGTATTTTCGTAGTAAGCTTATATATTGTAAAGTGTAAGCTTACTTATTGCATACTTACATTGCGTTTGACCATGCCTATCATGCCGTTCCACACACCATTACTGTCAGGAGCGCCCCAGGCACCGTCAGGAGGCCTCACTAGCGTGTAACTACAAACACAATCCTCACGTTACTACTGATAATACTACGTTGCTCATCTTAACAACTTATTTCTAATGTAATAATAAAGCAACACCTTCCCAGACCTAACGGCTGTGAGAGAGTCATATCCCTTTACAATCAGATAATGGCAATTTGTGAAGGTAGTAATACATGTAGATAAAAATATTGTAATAATAGGAACACCTCTACACTGAGACGGCGAAGATGAAAATATCGCCAGTGATGATATTCAGTAAAGTACAGTTTTTACTCACAAGATAAGTACAGCTGCTCAGTATACTAAAGAAACAAAATCTTAATTTCACATAACAAAACTCGTACAAAAACAATTCATCTCTAAATACCCCCACCAGTTGTGTCTCGCCCCAGTGAACTTGACTGTAATGCTTACATATGTCCTTGTTTTCCATACTTCCTGAATTTCCAGGAAAAGAGCGAACAACACATATTCTTAGATTTTTTTTAGTACGTGAATTAGAATACCTTATTTTTGAAAACATTAGGTAATAATTTTATTTACTAACTTTATTTCAGATCATGGTGCCGTGAATCAATCATGGCTTACTTGAAATTGATTGCGTAAGCTAAGGCGTTGAGGAGGTGTGCCAT